GGGGGTGGGGGGGCGGGTGGAATGGGGTATATGCAGCATATTGGGTGCTGACTCAGCTGCAACGGCTCATTAAAACTCCTCATGTGGCCTTCCAGCCCAATAAATGCCCACCCTGCACTGAGATTTAGACTAGTGTAAGCAACAAACCAAGCTCTTCTGCTCCAAAGCTGGAGAGAATGAATAAACAATTAATTTCAAGGCTTTTTAAAGAGAGCATTTCATTCTCCAGAAGGGCTGGAGTTTTGATTCTGTGGTAACAGACAGCAATACAGAACAGTGCATGGCTAGCTCAAGGGCTGTCTGGGCATGGAAGAGCGATGCTGGCACTTCAGTGCACAGCTCACTGAACCCCTGCAAGTCAAATAAGATGGCATTTCAAATCTAGGTAACTGCCCCCCCGCAGTCAGCACAACAACAGCACACACCGCACCAGCTGGGTGCACAAAACACTGCAAAGCTAAGCTATCATAGATGCTAACTTCCCCTTGAAGTCAAACATGCTGCCTGCGCTGTAAAAGGCAGCCAAATTACTTACCCCCAGGGCGGCGGGACTCGCCCACTGATTGGATTGCAATCAGGGTTCCCTTGTGCCATGTCTTGGTCCTTTTCTTGCCCAGGATGCGCATGCCGACTGTGAGATCACCGTCCTTGCTGAGATCGCCCCCAGAGTTTGCTTGCTGGGATGCATTTGCTGAGCTCTGCTGAGAGGAAGCCCCATCTATCCAGAGAAGAAAACACCAGAAGCCATCAGGTAGAGAAGTTGGGGGAGTTTCTTTATAACCAAGTGCCTGAGTTTGGAGGGGTGTAAGTTGTAGCGGTGTTGGTCTAAGGTCATAGGAAAACAAGGTTCTTTGGGTAAATCCGATATCTTTAATTAGACCAACTCAAATTGTTGGAAAAAAATATTTTTAGAAAGCTTTCGGGTATGAACGCCCTTCAAAGCCTAACAAAGTGTGTTCGAGCCCAAAAGCTTGCCAAAATGAATTTTTCCAACTATTTGGGTCGGTCTAATTAAAGATACCGGATTTACCCAAAGAACCTTGTCCGAGTTCTGAGGAGCTGTCAGTTACTCAACTTCTTCTAGTCAGTCCCACCTGCAGTATCTCATACTCCAGGTCAGTGCTACAGTGTATGGGGGCGCAAGACCTGCCAGGCATGGATTAAATATAAGCCTTTCCTCTTTAAAAGGTATCCAGATGCTGCTGCTAATAACTAGGGTGACCCTATGGGACAATGTGGTACCTGGGATGCTGCCTGCCCCTCCCTCCAGCCCTCCACTGCTACAGGGAGTCAATGGCCTGTTAATGAGACATTGTTCTTTACTTCACAGCTGTTAACAATCACCTGTGAAGTAACAATTAGTGCTAATAGGTCTTCCTACTTCACAGCTCCTGTAGTGCCCCCTTCCCCTACCCCCCACCCCAGACACTAGTTTTAATTTTCACCTGGGACCAGCCTCTGAAATCTTGGACATATGGTAACCCCACTAATATTAGCTGGGGAGAAACACAGTAAAAAGACACAACCTCACACTCCTGTACTAGCTACCCCAAGAGTTCTTTCAAGCAGTGAAGTAGCAAAGACAAGCCGGTGATGGCCTTTCTCTACCATTCCGAAGAACTGCTACAGTTTCCTCCAACCAGCTAGAACCAACAGCCCTATAATTTCAATTCTCCATCATTTCCCCCTCTTTGGACATTAGGACAGACCTCTGGGGAAAAGGCAAGTTGTGGGGGCAGCTCTCAGCCACTAACCTCTCTGCGTTTCCTGGGTCGTTTTTTTTTTGGTAATGGCATCCATGAATTTCTGAACATCCTGGGCAGATTTCCTCATCGCGGCCATGGCTTCTCGAAGCTACAGGGAAAGACAGACAGGGGTAAGAGAGCACTAAAGATATTCTTCTATATTATAAAACTGGTTTTGGAGCAATTGGGAGTTACAAATCCAACTTGTCCTGCATGTTTCTCAAGGAAACATGACAACCCCTACACAATTTAAAAACCAAGCTCTCAAATGCAAACAAAGCTGGTTTTTACTATATGCCAATACAACAGGGTCACAGGTTGTACAGATGGGATAGAGTGGAGGGGGGTGGCCTTGCTCTCTCTGTTAAGGAACAGTATACTTCCTTTATAATCAAGATGGGATCAGAGGAGGGCCAAACTGAGATACAGGTAACCCTCGCTATTCATGGCTTCAAATATCTGCGAATGCTGAACCCACATTTTAAATACATTTTATACACTTACAGGAGCTCCTCAGCTCTGCCCTTGCTGCTGCTGGGCTCCTGCTGCTGCTGGGTTTCTGCTGCCACTGCTGGAGCCATGCCCCACCCTAGGGGCACTGCATTCATGAACAGTGCCTTATTCGCGGATTTCGCCATTTGTGGGGAATACAAGACCGTATCCCCCACAAATGGCGAGTGTTGCCTATACTGTGGGTCAGGATACAAGGGAGTCAGGGG